GAGTCAACTCATCGAGACCCCTAACAGACTCGTCGAGTTCTTGTTGTCATAAAAATCAAGACAACACGATACGACTCGTTGAGTTCCCTTACGACTCCCTAGCCAAGATTTTCCTAGAAAGGCCCTCCTAAGGGTAAAGTTTCCAATTTTACCCATTCATAGCTCTTCTAAAAGGGTTTAGACAAAACCCTAATTCCTATAAAACATGAATCTTGTCCAAAAGGCCATATAATCTCAAATCCATGCATACAAACCCAGATCTAAGGTTTTAGCATCTGTTGGACACATAAAGCTCCAAACTTTCCTTCCATGCATGGTCTTTTAGGGCTAAAAAGACCATAAATTTGCTCATATGCTTGCATGGGGCTTCCATGGTCATAAAGTTTGCACCTTTATGCCATGGAACCCTTTCTAGATTCTAGATCTGAGATATAAGTCACTTGGGACGTCCCAACCCCATGGACCAAGGTTCTTGACCTAAAACTTTCATAATATGGAGATAACTAGATCTAAGAGAAGAATGATCAAGTTGGAAGCTTGATTATAGAAAATACAGTAAATGAAGTGTAGCTCCTGGATCTACTTCTTCCCCTTTGATCCTTCTATCTTCTTTTTCTCCCACAAGCTTCACAATGCACAAAAACACTCAAAAATGGCAAGAACTAGCTCAAGATCACTTATGGCGGATTAGGGTTTTGATAATAGGGTTTGGAGGTGATGGAGGCTGGGGTGGAGGCCAGATATGATGCTTAAATAGGGTGCAAACCCTAAAAATTAGGGTTTCCTCCTGATGGACCTACTCGCTGAGTCCAGGCTCGGACTCGTCGAGTAGACCATTTAAATCCTGCGGCCAAGCTGGCACATACTCGACAAGTTAGGGCTACCAAATCGTCGAGTAGCTCTTACAAAATGAATATTTTAATAAATTAAATACGTGCCAGGAACGGGGCGTTACAACATATCATATATACACCATATAAATAATTTATATGTACACAAACTACATAAAACTCAAATCAAAACTATTTTATTTATAACTGATTTGTTATAAGCATTCTTAGTTTTACAAAAAAAAAAATTGTTTTCTATTTGTAGCTGTTTTCAACCAATTTAATTTCAGATTAACCTTCGATTTTCAAAGATGGAATATATTATTTTCTTATATAATTCAAATGCCACTTACCTCATATATTTTCGATTATCTTATGATTTTACAAGAAACAACAACAAGTTGTTTAGTTTGACTGCACTGGACAAATTACATGGTTAGTCCCTTTTAAAATTCGATTCGATTTATAAGGTTCAAAAGTCTAAGAAAGTAGACTCTCGTATATTTTTAATTACGCTGACCTTGCCTTTAAACGATTTTATAGAATTAGTTATGATTTTTCGAAAATAGAGACATAATGTAGAGTTTTATTTGTATGAATACATACCCCATAATAACTCTTTAATGACCAATAACTTATCATGTCCTACAACTCTAGAAAATTGGCTCAGATACCAATGTTGGGTTATGATGATCATTAGAGCACAAAGCAACAGAAACAATAACATACAAAATTAGATCATCATGACCCACCATATAATCTCGTTCTAGTGACTTTTTAATAACAAAATGCAACAAAGAAGATACGAAATACATATGTTTGTAGATTTTGATTAAATCTTCATGTTGGTCTAGTTTGGACGATCTGGAACCTAAACCAAATTTACTCTTATCGCACCTACAATGGCGGAGTTAATAGGGGGCTGTTGGATGCTCTGCCCCCCTCAATCTGTTTTAAACCTCGCATATATAATATAAGTAAGAATGCTGAAAAATTACTTATGGAATCATTTAGTATAAATAAGAATGCTCAACACTTCCAAAAAAAATTATTATATATAGAAAAAGTTACCACCAAAATTAAGGCTATGATTTAACATAAATCACAGGATCTCTATCCTCATTTTTTCCTTCATCCCCAATTTTTTAGTTTAATCAACTTAATACCCTATTTATTTCAATTCGTCGTTATCTAATGATTATACCCCATTTTTAGTAATAAATAACTTTTGTTAATCGACGATTCACTAAGATAAACTCCGTAGCTACTTTTATTTGGTGATGAGCTTAATTTCAATTAAAATATTATTTTCGGCTACATTGCCACATCTATACAATTTCAATTTTGAAATCAATATGAAGGTTAATCGATAAATATTAGTCAATGCCAATTGAAAACTTTTTAAAATTCATCTTAATAGATGAATATGAGTCAATGCTTATGATATGTTGATAATTTATAAGGTTGATTCTTGTAACGATCGACTACTACATCTAGACGGATTTTTCTACCAATTTTTCTTTTTAAATTTTAGACTCTATTACTTTATTTTTGATATAACATTGTATTTTAATATGCTATTATGATGCGAGGTTGTCAGCCCCCCTTATTTTTATATCTTGGCTCCGCCCCTGCGCACCTAAGAGTATGATCCAAGCAACAAAGTGACAAGCTCTCTTCTTTTCTTCTGCAAAAAACAAACCAACCCTAGGAGATGGAGGGGGGTCGTAGGTTTCTTAAGAGAGCCAAAAACTAGAGAAGTTTTAGAGGGAAAGAATAACCGAACTATGCTAGGGTTGGTTAGGGTTATCTAAGTGTTGACTAGATAACTCTTATCCCTCAAATGGTGGGATAATTCTCTAGTAATTATCCTTTTTCTTAAATAAAAGATATTCACACTTTAAACCCCTGATTCTTTAAGTTTCTAACTCACCTTATGACGACAAGTTAATAAACTAAACCCTTTAAATTCTCTTTTGTCATATTATGCCGAAATCATATCTTCCATATAACCCAAAAGCACTTTGCTAATTATGGAAAATCACCAAATTATGACCATGAATATACTTCCAACAATATCGTGATGTTGTATAAGGTTTTACGATGTCTTTGACTAGGAGATTAATCAATAATTGCACTTATGGAGGGAGTTACTCCAACTAGATGGACTAATGCATAGTTCTCATCAAGATCAAGATTTTGACCAGGTGATTGTATCTAAACTAAATGCTTACAATAGTTAATTTAAGAGAAAATGACTTAATAAGGTAAGATATTTTTCGTTTTGTGCATATTTTAGTCATTGATTTTTTTTCTATATTTGGCCATTAAACTTGTTTTTTTATCCATATCTTACCCTTATGACCGGTTGGTGTAAGTTGCGTTTAGCTAGTTTTCGACGTTTTTTGCAGCTCTGATAGAACACTGGTCATCTTCTCTGGCGAGTCTCCGACCAATATGATTTTTCCAGCGAGTTCTCCGGCCACCTCTTCAGAATCGTAAACCATCCCCCTTTGGAACTCATATTTTTTCAAAATTCATTCTCATTTATTGATTTATTTGAATATTATCTTTTCCCAATTTAATATTCATCCGCTTCAAGTTATTTGGTTGTTCATCAGACTCTATTTCACACAACATATCACTGAATATGTTCCTCACCTTTGAATCTGTATAATATCTAACTTGGATCGACGATTGAGTTTACTGATTAGTTCCAGATTGTTGTGCTGGTCGTGTGAAATATCTTTTGGTTGAATCACATTTATATCAACGATTTTAGGGCTTTCTCAATATTCGTGTTCTTCATACACACTCACTGTTGGAATGGGAGGATGTTGGTTCTTCTCTCGTTTTGCTATGATGTATAATTAAAACGAGATTTTGATTGGAGTGGATTTTCGATTCAATTGAGTTTTGTTGTTTTTGTTGGATTCGAAAGAAGATGGAGATGGATTAAATGATAAAGTTGTTTCGATCGATGGTATGGTTTGTGATTTCAAGTGATGATTGACAGCTAATTGGGTCGATTTGAAGGATGGTGAAGATGAACTGAGTCTCGATGATATATGTGGTTGATTGTTGTTGAATCTGATGAACAATGAATGAAATAATAAAATCCGATGAAGTGAAGAAAAATACAAATTAAGACATATTATATTTGAATAATGGTTTTATAATGTTATGGTGAATGGGTGTTGTTTGTGTGAAGAATCGATGTACAGAGGAATATGTTGAAATGAATGGAGCTCTACAAAGCCCAGCCGAAAAAGATGACCTAAGAGTCGTTGGAGATGATAAAGTTGTAGGAAACCTTCAATAGTAGGTTGTAATGATATTTTGTGCACAAAATAACAAAATTAATGAGCAAATGTAGACGAAAATAATAATAGTAATAATAAATAAATAAATAAATTAGTGATTAAATATGTACAAAACAAAAAAAAATACCCTACATTTTTAAGTCATTTTCCCTTAGTTTAAATTTGAATTGATGTTGATTCATTCTTTATGTCCAATTTGCAACTCTTACAATGAGACAATATTGCCCATGACTTCTTCCTTTGCTGTCAAATTGCTCATGGTGGAATATCGTTATTCCTTTTTTTTGTTACGGTTTCAAAGCCTGTGACTCTAAATACGGTTAAAAGAAAGTGCTTGGATGCGATCAATAGTCATAGCTTTTTGTCTCCTTTGGAACTTTTGAAAATTTCCGATTTTCCTTCCAACTGGGGTAAACCGAGCTAGAAAGCTGTTTTATTTGTTAAGATAGTCTCATAATCTTTCTTTTGGTTGCTCAATATAAGTACCAAGTTAAAAATTAACCGGATTGGTTAGGTGTACAACTATTTTATTGCTATTTTATTTGACAAAAATATTTGTTTGTTATAATGATATCTTTCTAGTTTAATAAAAAATTTAACCCGTTCATATAACCGATATATATTTTTAAACATGCAACGAGTATCACCGCATTCAGTGAGCAAAACTTGATGATGCATGTGCTAGGACCGAAAGACGCATTACGGCATTACTATCCTAATCAAATCATATTTCAATGTGCTTCTTTTGAAGTGAGCGGATCTTGCTAGAAAGAAAAGTCACAAGTATTAAGACCCAATTAGAAATAATACAAGTTTACTGACAACGAAAGCAAAAAACTTAAAAACTACAAGGGCCAAATAGTAAAATAATAAGACATAGTTAGCATTAGAAGTATTTGACTAATTTTTCAACGGAAGGAACTCGATGAACTGGCGAGGACTGAGGTTGACGTCATTCGTCGGAAGCAAACATTTATCCGGTTGTTCCCTGCCATGGCCGTTGCTGTTAACCGGAAACAGCTCTAAGGTCTGGAAAGATTCAACGTCATGCTGGAGGTGGTGATGTCTGTGACTATGTGGCGAAACGACAAGGTACGACGACGTTTTAGAAACAGGTGTAGCAGGTATGCAGGTGGTGGCGATGGTGGTGGAGTTATGGTTGGTGGGAGGAGTAGATGATGACAAACACTGCATCATGTGCTTCCACGTGGCATTCTTTTCAGGAAAGCTCTTCCTCCTACGGTGTAGCAACAGCAGCTGATCATTTCCTTCTTCATCTTGTTGTTCAACAGGTATCAGTCCCTGATCTGCTATGCTCGTCACCCTAGATTCTGGTTTTGACGTTCTTTCTCTTAACACTTTCTGCTGATTCAGCAAAAAATATACATATATGTATATAAATATAAATAAATAAATTAACTTTTTTTTACTAAAAATAAATTATGGGTTTTTCAAATTACACATGTGATTATAATGCATTCATTGAAAAAAATTGTTAGGATATATATATATATATATATATATATATATATATATATATATATATATATATATATAAGGTTATACTGTTTGTGAGGTCAATAAGATTTTGAAGAAAAAACAAAGAGAAAGAGGGGAAGCAAGGGGAGGGGACCCGACAGAAAGGAAGGAAGGAATGCAGGTTTTCATTTCCCAAGGAAAAAGAAACATGAAGACCTTTTTTCACTTGTTTTCTATTTTACTTCACTTCATCAATCATATTCACATTATTACTATTTATAAACCCTAACTCCACTTTCATTAACAATAATTATCAAGTTATTTAGTGTTTCATTAATCAAGTGGTTATGCGCATATGGAGTAGGATCAAATGAGAACACCTAAAAGGTTGAGAACGCGAGAACAGATCTGGACCATTTAAATATTTAGACCTAAGGTTATTATTAAACGGGCGATTTATGATAAATTCTAAAACTACAGGCATTAAAGTGTAACTTTTAAATTGCCAGAAGGGCATAATAGGAATTGCAAATTTACCTTTTTCCTACAATTTCTCACCCTCTCTCCTCTTTCCTTTCATAATCTCGTATCTTTATCTCCCTCGATCTCTCTCTAGGGTTTCAAAATAAACGCCTCTCTCAATGAATTCGGGTCCCTTTTCTTTCCTCTCTTCCCGTCGATCGCTCCACTGCCGTCTTACCCCAACTTCAGGTTTGAATCCACGTATCAAATCAGTGACATTGGATTCCAGTTCCACGACAATCATCGACGATCCGACATCGGCTTCCGCTTCAGAAGAAGAAAGTCCAGCGAAGATCGGCGCTAGGGTTAGGGTAAAGGTGTTGTTGATGAAAAGAAAAGATGAGGAAGGTATCGTATATGAAGCTTAAAGGTAGTCAAAACCTAAGGCAACGACTACTTCTATCACCTCTCACTTCAACACCGATTTTAATCGATGATATCCGTGCCGACGCCACCTGGCTTGGACTCCTTCCTCATGAGGTCTCGTTTCTCCGCCTTCTCGAGACAATCTCCGATGACTGTCATGTCGAAATCAACGAAACTGGTAATCCTAGGTTTTCTCTTTCTTTTTCTAATTTCATGTTCCAATTTTTTGAATGTTCTTGTTTACGTACTAGGAAAATAGAAATTGAAGAGAATATAGGGCTAATTTGTATTGTAGTTGAAGTTAACTCTATGTTCATTCAAAGTGAACGATAGTTTGAAATCGATTTACTCGTTGAATTGATAGGGACGAAATTGAAATACAAACCTGGGATAGTGATGGGTGGGGGATATCTGGAGCATGATTGTGGATTGAGTAGATCAATTGGCTATTTTTTGGAAGCTTTGATTTTTCTTGTTTTTTTTTTGGGAAAAAATCCATTTCCATTAAGCTCAAAGGTAACCTTACACTCCCTTCAACCTTCTCATCTAATTTTCGTTCTATTGATTTACATCATCAAAAGTGTATTCATTTATGAATATAATTACAATTATAGAAATTCATATGTATTTTATATTTTGTTCAGTCTCTTCATTTACTAAATTTGCTTCATTTAATTGATTGTTAATTGTATTTAATTCTGATTTTGGAGTTTTCTATCAAGAACATGAAATGATTTTGGGGTTTTCTATCAAGAACATGAAATGATGAAGTATGAAATTGTTTCAGGAGCGAAGAAAGAAGAATATGGAGCACCTCCACCGATTTGGTGGTTCATCGCAGTAGTGGAGTGGCAGGGGGTGTTTGGGTTGCTTGGTGTGTCATAAAACAGTGGGAGAAAACGGAAGGGGCTGTTTCCCTTGGCTCGCCGGAAACCACCAGCAAACACCTCTAGTGGGGGTGTTGTTGTTGCACCTCGAAGACAGGAGAAAAAGAAGGGAGTGTGAGAGGAAATGGAAGAATGAAAAATTGTATTTATCTATGAATAGCAGTGCATTCAGGTGTGAATAACAGTTAATGAATAGCAGTGCATTCATGTGTGAATAGCAGTGTATTCATTTGTGAATAACAGTGAATGAATGTATTTATTTATGATTAGAGGTATTCATTTATTCAATTCTGAATAACAAGGTACTTATTTGTTAATAGCAGTGTATTCATTTGTGAATAACAGTGTAAGCATGTGTTAATGAGTATATTTATTTATGATTAGAGGTATTCTTTTTATGGAGAAATGATAATTTTTACACTCTTTTTATTTTCAATTGATTAAAAAAAGAAATTGGATTACTTGTAAATTGATGTGTATTTATTTGTGATTGGAGTAGTATCAGTTTTTTGAAAAAAAAAATCATTTATGAATACAAATGTACTAATTTGGTGTTCGATTTCTATTCATTTTTTTGAACACAAAAAAAACGTGAAATAGGAGAAAAAAAATTGATTTTTTTAAGAATTTTTTTTCAGTTTTAAAATAAATTTTGATAAAAATGTTTTTTATATTCCATTAATAAGAAAAATAAAAAAATTGAATATTTATTTCTTTACTGATCCTAAATTTAAGGGAATTTGATTGAATTTTATTTTATTTTAATTTAATTAAAATATACAATTACTAGTATACCCTTATATATTGATTGGTTCAGAATTGTTCTCGCGTTCTCAACCTTTTAGGTGTTCTCATTTGATCTTCTCCCATGCACATATATGCAATTAATCTTTATAGTGAACAAGAAAGTAAAATTATGAGCTTGCGATATATTTAGTTATATACCTAAAGGTTGGGTTCTAAGGTTACCAAAAAAAACCTTGTCATCCATCATATTCACATTAGTATTGTTAGTATAAACCCTAATTTTCTTATGAAGTAAATTAATTATTTTTACGATATATATAGGCCTTGAACCTGATGGTACTTCGGTTGCCCAATAAAGCTCACCAACTAAATAAGAGGAGTTGTGCCTAGAAAACGTTAGGATGATCGAGCTTTTGTCAATTGTAATATAAAATTAAGGATAAAGCAATTTATAAAATTATATATTTGAAAATTATTGTCTAACAAGATAGAGTTGTTGAGCAATTCCCAAAAAAACATGTACTCATCATGAAGATTATAACATGTGTACTGGCTAAAATGAAATTTTATGACCAAAAAAAAAGTTATATTTTATGTACAATGTTTTTTTTTTTGAAAAAGATATTTTATGTACAATGTTTATTCAAAAGGTAATGATTTATGGTTGGGTTGATAAATATGATACAACAATGGTAATCGAAGTGTATTATTTTTCCATTCATACACACATATCTTCATATTTAACTCCATAATATTTAGGGACTACTAATCGTATATGTAAACTATAATTATCTACTAAAATCTAGTGTTTTTATTTTAAAAATACAAGAAAAGAACGTATTAGATTATCCTTTTTGATATATATCTTTTGTGATGATAGTAGAAAGAAGTGTTGTAAGTTAGATTTCGTGCACGTTTGGTGCTAAACAAGTATAAACATTAAATCACTTATAACCCTTTCTAATGAAAAAAATAAAATCAATCTTGTTTGTATAGAAATGTAGATTAAATATATCATATATATATATATATATATATATATATATATATATATATATATATATATATATATCTATATATATATATATATATATATATATAATATATATAGTAATAGATTAATAAATTGAATAAAGAGAAAGGAAATAAGCAGCAGACCTCTGAAAATGTAGGTATTGCCCAGTTTCTGGTCTCTTCAACTTCATAGCTTGTCCTATTAAGCTCTGCAACCAAACACAGGTACCAAGATCAGTCCCGATCATCCAATACAAAAACAAAAAGAAACACACAATTCCTATTTCTTCATTCTTTCTGCACCAAGATCCATAAATATATGACCCAACTTCTCAATTCTTGATTTAATGGAGAAAATGATGTCATGTTATATATGTTTTTCAGTTCTTTATTTTCTTTATACTAAAAGGAAGAAGCAGCTAAAATGAGGTGCTTTCTTAGTTTTTATATTTCATGTGCTTCGAGTTCATGGTTTCTTTGACTTTTTTATTTAGAATGATAACAATATGAAGAAGTAGATATAACCCTAAGCTTCTGCGAAATTTTTAAAAAGATAATGTATACAAGTCGGTGGTTAAAGTTATACCTGGATCTTTGCGTTCTATAGATCGATCAATATTGATGTTGTTAATATCAGTGGTATAATATGGAGGTTGATGAAGATCAGTTGTAGGGTTATCAAGCTGACGGCGTCGTTTCTGGCGTTCTCGGGCCTTGTGATTCTGAAACCAGTAGAAAACATTCTTTCCTTCGATCTTTCCATACCGGCGGAGCTGGGCGGTGATGTGTTGGATCTCGTCGGCAGACGGTGTTCTTGTCCCTCGACGATATAACTCCTCCAGGGTTTGCAGCTGCTCCGGCGTAGGGTTCCACCGTGAGCTTATAACCACCATCTGTTGTGAATTAAACTCTCTCTTGTGTTGTTCAGCTGCCACTGTAAAAACCACAGTTGGTAAATCCATTACAAGAAAAAAGACAACTTTTAGTGTAGAACATACCTAGATGATGATTTATAGGAAGGAGATGATGATCATGATGAGTGGAGTGGAAGCGGTGGGAGGAGGAGGCGGCGGCGCAACTGGGTCTTGGAACCAGTGGTCTTAACTTCCGACTACCATTGTTGGTGTAGGATTCAATCATGTTGATATTTAAGTCTTCGGCTTCATTGTAACCCATCATCCACATCCTATCTTTCTGTGGTCAAATATCCAAAAATGTAAGGAAGATGAGGAAAGGGGTATTTGGGATGGTAATTATTTGGGGGGCAAAAGGGATCCTAATGAGAGTGATAGATATAGAGTGTGGCTCTCACTCACTTATGTAAAAAGTGTCCAATTTGGCATAGCATTCACTCAAACAAATGCTCTAATTGCATATATTTTTTTAGAAAAATTATAAACTGGTCAAAAGCGAATAAAATTATTAACATAATGATGAATTGCCTTACCTTCAAAATCATAAATTCAAATACTTTTATACACTCAAAGATAAAATTTTATGTCATAATAAGTACAAACATTTTTTAGCATAGGTTAAACTTTGACCCATGCTAACGTAACATTGTGATATCTCATTTGATCAGTTTACTAGTTAAAAATTACAAAATGATTTCCGAAGGTAATAAAATTTTAATATTGTTAAAAACACATCATTAAAGTTTTCACTTTGCGTAGTATACCACTGAAGTTTTCAGTTTTCAAAATACACTATTGTAATCCGCAATAAAAGTTACAGTAGGTAATTTTGAAAAAAAAAAAAAAATCACATTGATACTAGGTCATCTTATGTGGCTATAGAATTGTAATCCTCACCCATTTATTAACACTTAGAGAAACATTATAATTGGTTACATGAGGATTAGGGCTCATTTCTCTAATTCAATGTCAAACCATCTAACTCATAGTCAATCATCTTATAAGGAAGACGACAATAAGTAGTACGTCCAATGCAGATTTGAGATGAATGAGTTTCAACAACTTCAATATTGTAGATTTCAGAAGCGATATACACTACCAAGGATCAAACACTGCTAATTTACTTCAACCCTCTTAATTCTTCTATGAAAGATGTTGATTTCAAAAAAAAAAAAAAAACATGTTTTAACGAGTTCAATTTATTTCTTAAAAACTGACTCATGAGAGGTGTGTTGATATGTGTTACGGCCTTGGGCAATGATCAATAGTAGATGGGTCAAAAGTATTGATAGATGATGGTGATTGTGTTAGGTTTCTTGAGAGTGGTTCTGCTAATAAGGGAAAGATTGATGTATACATTGATCACTTTACTGAACCACTATGTGACTTTATTGAGTAAGAAAGAGTAAAAGATGGAGGTAATGAAAGTGATTATTCTGATGATGATCTAGGCTCAATCTTTTCCGATGACTTATGAGTTGATCATGATGAGGAATATGAGATTTTTGTATTGAGGAAGTATGTTGATCCTTTTTGGAAGAGTAACTAGTTGTACGAGATAATAGCATAATTAAACCCCAAATGGTGTAATCTTAACATATCTAAATAAGAAAATGATATACCATTGTACCTATCATTGGTATAATTTTTTTTTTATCCAAAACACAATAATCCAGTGTTAATTAATTACGTTGTTTCATATGAATATAATATATGGTGTGAAATCACTGTCTATACTTTACAAACATTTTTTCATTTTTACCTTTTTGTAGGAAATCGGTCACCAGTACATGTGGTGCGCCACGTTGGAGTTGAAAGTGTATTTTTTGATGACATTGCATGCTAGTTTCTATTTAAAAATACATCATTAGGGGAAGAAATAGGTTAACCAATTGAACCCCGCCTCCCATACATAAAACACACATCTTGCTACTAAGTTACAAACAATTTTTTGTCTTTTTAGTTGAACTATAATATATAATGTATAATTTCGGAAGACATTAAATAAAATTATTATTATTATTATTATTATTATTATTATTATTATTATTTTATAAATGTATACATACATTTTGAAATATTTTTTTAAAAGTATAAATATATCTTGAAAGGTAAAATATGTGTTTTAAAGGTACAAATATAAATTTAAAGGCACAAGTAACTATTTTAAGTTACTTATATATATATATATATATATAGATATATATATATATATATATATATATAGATAATATATATATATATATATATATATAGATATATATATATCGATATTATATATATAGAACCATAATTAACCAATTAACCAATTTTTTTTTCAATTTTTAGAACTTATTTTTTATAAAAAAAAAAACTAAAAATACAGAAATTCATAACTTTTTATCATTTTTCCAATGATATCAAATTCAATAAAAGAAATTTAATTTTTTTTCGTCAAATTCACAATGTGAATCTTTGAAGATTCATAATGTGAATCTTTAAAGATTCACAATGTGAATCTAAATTCACACGGTGAATCCGAAAAATATATTTAACATTCACAATGTTAAGTTATGAATTTAGATATTTTTAGTTTTTTTTTCGATAAAGAATAAGCTCTATAACTTAAAAAAAAATTTGGTTGCTTGGAAAACCAATAATTATGGTTCTCTATTGAACTTTTCCATATATAGATATATATATATATATATATATATATATATATATATATATATATAAACGTATTTATGAATTTAATAGTGTATATATATCTTTAAAACCATTTTTTTACATTTAAAAACATACATGTCCATTAAAAAATATATGTATTTGTATGTAATAAGTATAAATATGTTTATAAATAGAGGAATACAATTTTTAGATTTTTCGAAGTATGATTACTTAATGTTAAATTTCTTGCATTAATAAAAAAGTATAAATACATATTTTTCGCATATAAAGACACCTTTTTATAGATTTGAGTATGATTTTAAAGATATAAATAAGGCTTTATAAATATATTGTTAATGATATAAATTCATTTTGCAAGATATAAATATGTATTTAAAGGAATAAAGACGTTTATATACATAAGAATAAGCATTTATATCTTTTAAAGTATAGAAAACATAAAAAAAAAGTACACCTTTATATTTCTAAAAATCATAAAAACATATATACATATATTTAAAAACTTATTTATACCTATTATATATATATATATATATATATATATATATATATATATATATATATATATATATTGATGTATAAAATAACGTTTTAAACATATACATATACTTTTAAATATATAAACATGTTTTTAAATATACAAAACTGCACGAATGGTTCCCGTGGTTAGCTGAAAATTGTCACTTTGGTCCAAAAAAGTTTGGACTAGCGCCAGAGGTCCAAACTTTTCGTTTTGTTGCGAGTTTGGTCCGATTTTGTTTGAACTTTTTTAAAAAGTCGATTTTGCCATTTATTATTTAATATTTTAATTTTCTTTTATTACAACAATTAAAAACAATTAAAAATAAAAGAAAAAAAATACTCTCTCTCTCTCTCTCTCTCTCTCTCTCTCTCTCTCTCTCTCTCTCTCCGACCACCATGGAACCAATCCCACCCCTTTCCTCCCAAAAATTGATGAAAGTCCAAATCGACGCTCCAACTCTTCCTTCTCCTTCTATCAGTTCCTCTTGTATCTCTCTCGTCTTGCAGGTCCAAATCGAGGTAAACGACCCTCTCCTGCCCTACTCCCCTCTATGATGTCGTAATCCCCTATTATGAACAACCCTTTTCGAACCTCAAAGCATTTTCCCTCATACAGAGTGAATTACAGAAATCTATTTAAGTAGTAGGGGATGTATACACGCAGGTGAGTTTAACTGATGAACGATGGTGACACCAACAGTTCCATTTCAATTGATGAACGATGGTGGTGGTGATATAGCTTGTTTTCAAGGTCCGATTTCAATGTTTCAAGTTCTGATTTCAGAGAAACTTGTAAACCTAGATGATAAATATACAGATGATGAACACTCATACCTTTTAAACATGTATTTCCTTGGTTTTCAAGTTCCGATTTCAAGGTTTTCATGTCTTATTTTTTGAGGAAGAAGATGGTTCTTAGTATCTAAAGAGGAACGCGCACAATCTCTTTTTCGGTGATCCCCCAATCTTTCACCATCGAAGACTCTTTATCCTCCCCTCTTTAATCTATGTTAATACTCTCCTCTCCATCTCTCTGATCTTTGCAATGAGCCCTTAAATTGTGTGTTGTATTCCGACGAGTAGAGAATTCGCTGAGTAGAGGAGATCGGGAGAGTTTCGATCGAATTGTTTGATGGTAATCATATTGTTGTTCTAATTGGGTCCCAACTATGCATTCCAGGAGCAACAAAAAGGGGGCATGATTTCATGTGTGAAAGGTTAGAAATAGGACCGATTTGAGATTTCTAGGGAATGAATCACGAACAGGTTATGTTTTCTTTTTCGGATGACCACCATAGGTGTCGATCTAAATCCTCTTTTTCTCCTGCAGCCTGTGGGTTTCGATGTGCAGGTGTATGGTTTAGTAAGGCTTGATTTGCATGTTTAGGGTTTGATTTTCAGGATGAGAGTTATTTAGGTTTAATTAAAGGTTCAGGTTCATCAATTTTTGGGAGGAAAGGGGTTGGATTGGTTCAATGGTGGTCAGAGAGAGAGAGAGAGAGAGAATATTTTTTCTTTTATTTTTAATTGTTGTAATAAAAGGAAATTAAAATAATAAAGGGTAAAATCGTCTTTTTAAAAAAGTTCAAACAAAATCGGACCAAACTCGCAACAAAATGAAAAGTTTGGACCTCTGGTGCTACTCCAAACTTTTTTGGACCAAAGTGACAATTTTCAGCTAACCACAGGGACCATTTGTGCAGTTTTGTCTTTTAAATATATAAATACTCCTAAAATATATATTTATAAATTTACCACTATATTTTAAAATATATGTTTATATTCAATGAAAATGTATAATAATAATAATAATGACGATCATGATGACGACGATGATAATAATACTCTTAAATGTAGAAACATGTTTATATATATATATATATATATATATATATATATATATATATATATATATATAAAATAACATTTTAAATATATACATATACTTATAAATATATAAACATGTTTTTAAATATATAAATACTCCTAAAATATATATTTATAAAGTTACCACTATATTTTAAAATATATGTTTATATTCAATGAAAATGTATAATAGTAATAATAATGACGACCATGATGACGACGATGATAATAATACTTTTAAATGTAGAAACATGTTTTTAAATATATAAGTA